CTTGATTATTGAGTATCAATTTCAAGAAAAAACAAAGACGATCTCAAAAACGACTCCACAAAAGCGTGTAACGTCTCCAAATAATCGCCTCCAGCTAGTTCATGGTTCCATTGTGCATAAGTGCGGCCACTGCGCACGGCCCGCGTGACGTCACGCCGGATCGGGTTACGCCGCCCGCCCAAACGGGCCGTTCTCGGCACGCACTTTCACTGAATGTGACCTTGCCTTTGACTCCATGTTTAGGACAACTTATGGACGGTTGCGCGGGAGTTTAGGGCAACGTAGGGCTGGTTGCGTAGGGAAAGTAGGGCTTAGGGCAAATACTTTTAGTTTTGGCTTTTAGTTTCGTAAGTCGAATGGATGAATACTGAGTGTGTCCGAAGCTGAGAGATATTTAATTGATTTTATTTAATTAATTATATCAACATTAAAATAAACTTTTCATGATAAGCCATGATAGCTGATGTTAAAGTTTTGTTAATGAATTTTGGGCGTTTAACAATTAAAATAAAAAAAATCAAAGATGTTATTGGACATTACAACTGAAAATAATTTTGTAAATGCAATTTTACTGACTCTATCACTAAGTTACCAAAATATTTTCAACCGACTTCAAAAAAAGGAGGAGGTTCTCAATTCGACCCGTATGACCCTCTATTAAATTTGTTTGATGGGTGTCCCCAACAATTTGAAGTCTTTAGACTTTCTTGAAACGCTTACGTAGGTACGTGCACTATAAGGCGGGCAGTCAGTGCAAATGTCGATGACTCCAGTCGTGACGAGGATGTGACGAGGCCAATTTATTTTCAGTAAGAATACTCTGGCTGGGTTGCACCATCTTACTTTAACTTTGACAACCGTCAAAAATCTGTCAAACTTCATACAAAACACACCGGTTATCGTCATAGTCACTGTTAATTGAAGGTCGTGCAACTCAGCCTAAGCGACGCGGTTGGAAACATTGAAAAGTATGAGCGAATACAGTTTATTTTGACTAAAAATATTTTGAAGAGCCGATTTAACGAAGTCACAGATTAATTTTGCTCTAAAAATTTAAGAGGTACAAATAAATAATTTGCTCTGAAAATAAAAGAACTATCAATAAATCAAACGTTATTTTTGGCAATTTAAAATGAGACGAAAAATATTCTTTCTAGTTATTTCTTCATCATCATCATCATTTCAGCCACGGGACGTCCACTGCTGAACATAGGCCTCCCCCAATGACTTGGTAGCGGCCTGCATCCAGCGCCTTCCTGCTACCTTTATCAGGTCGTCGGTCCACCTTGTGGGTGGACGTCCCACGCTGCGTTATTAGTTATTTCTTAACAAGTTAAACTTTGGTGTGTTGTCTGAACTCTGAAACCAGAACAATTATGAGTACAAGCGAGTTATTCCTGGTTCCGATGAGATCGCGCCGACGTCACGGCGGTTAAAGTCTGCTAATCATTCTGTTTTCCCCTGGCAGTCATCCCATTGTACGCCGGGAATCCAGGATATGCCCGTCGTAAGCTGTCCGGTGTTAGAATGTTAGAATGTCCGAAAGAAATCGGATGTTATAAATTACAGACAATGTAGGTAACTCCAAAATCCGAGATCGATGTGGTTTGTAATAAAAAATCAGAAAGAATAGAAATATTTTCCATTGCGATTTAGTATCACTTTGGTAACCTTTATAAAATAGTAGAACATGGTTATTAATTAGTCCAAAATTGTTTACTAAGTCTAAAAAACAAACGTGGATTTTTAACAATTCTGTAAGATGATAAACTTGTTAGCTAGTTCAGAAGAGTAATTCCATTGGTTTAATATGATGACGTAGTGTAGATAGATGATATTAATACGTCAGTGGGACGTAACCTACCTTTGGAGTACCATATATTAGAAAGCCACTTGACATATTTCTAAACTTATATTAAACCCCATCTATAAATATTCCGATATTGAGTGCTCCAGTTTTGCTAAATAAAAGTTTTGGGCCACATACCATAGTTTCAAGGACTCGCTTTGAAGAAAGTATGTCATGGTAATTAGTTTATCCCGTTCTTCACTGCTACGCTAGATTTTTCAGCATTTTTCCCGTGACTTGGTATGTGAGGAATTCATTTTGCTATAAAGAAATGTTAGTATCAAGCTTGGTGCGGAATAAATGTATAAAAAAGTTTAAACAAATAAAAAAAAAGATCCGCACAAGATAGATTAGGTTTTGCATTCAAATATTACTTAAACAATCACATTATATTAATAATCCTGAAATCCTAAAGACTTCTATGTGAATATTTCGTTTTTAAATAATTATACAAATATCTATCATAACATCAACGATTTGAAAACTAAAAGCACATCCATCGTAACAACTTCAAACAACAAAACATGTTATTACGTCCGGAGACAGTAAAACATGGCTGGCATAATGACAAGGGCGGATTCGACTGTTTCGTCCAAACCGCAGCGTGACGCGTGCGCAAGTCATGGGATTCAATCAATCAAGATCGGTATTAGAGCCGGGAAATGCAAATCAATTAATTACGTTCCGTTTCCGAATAAGTTGAATACATCTATGTAGGATTACGAGAGCTATCTCTATCTATGAGTTTTTTAAGAATTGCTCTATAATTTACATAACCTACTACAGTATTAACTTTACAGGATCACACGGTTTTCAAAAATCTATTTGAAAGTAGAACTGAAACCAACTAAACAGGATCACAAAGTTCAACTAAATCCATATTATATGAGGTAGTATTAGGGAGTCCTGTCTTATTATACCAATTTTCAACCCTGGAAACGTCTGAAAATTAATTAAAAACTACAAATCCTTCATTATCAAAGTCCTCGTCCACACTTGTCTGTTTTTTCACAAGAGGTCGATGACTCACTTGTTATATCACATCTGATCAGCTATAGCACTATTTTCAGCCTCACCGCTAATCCAATGTCAAGTTTCTTCGCGAAAATTTCAATATTTTTGCATATTTACGCGATGATTTACAAATTTATATTGTGAGCTTACATCACTTGATCTAAAAATACGGTTACTATGAACGGACGGTGTAGAGCGCTTCAAGAGTAGAGTGGATTTTCCCCTTCATTAAACGCCAATTAGGCAACGTTACAATTAATTTAGGATCAACTATTAGTTTATCTATAATCTAATAAATTTGTTACCGTCCAAACCAATTGTAGTGATATTGAAGAAAGGAGATATTTAAACAATTAAATTGATGCACAATATTGCTAAATTAATTTCACTCAAGGCTTGTCTTACTAATCAATTTCGATGAGATTATTGATAGAAACAGCGAACCTCATAATCTTGATCCAATTTGAACTCGAGCTACGCTTTAGGCACTAAATCAAGCACGATGTATTAGGTGACTAGCTTTCAGCCCGCGGCTTCGCCCGCGTGGAATTTTGTCTGTCACAGAAAAACTTTATCGCGCGCGTCTCTGTTTCAAAAACCGGGATAAAAACTATCCTATGTTCTTTCCCGGGACTCAAACTATCTCTATGCCAAATTTCATCAAAATCGGTTGCGAGGTTTAAGCGGCAAAGCGTAACAGACAGACAGACAGACAGAGTTGCTTTCGCATTTATAATATTAGTTGGGATTAGGAACATTTGATTAAATTATGTCAATGTTTGAGCTGGAGAGCATAACGAGTTTAACCCACACTCGTCCAAACCGACTCGTAAATCCGCAGCAGTTCAACCGTCCCCCGTAAACAACGGAAACCAATCAGTTGATAAATCACAGTTAGGGTAAAGTTGCCTATATTGTACCAGTTAACGAACTTTACAAGCTGTCACAAAAACTATGTAACTTAAGAGCATTATATTACTAGAAATCAAAAGGTTGTTCTATTGGTGTTCATTTTTTATTACAAGAAAATGAGAAAATGTAATATGAAAAACGATAATTAAAGTTCTTAAAAAAGTCTGAAAAAGTACAATTTAGGAAACCGGTTTCCTTAATTGACCGAAATGATGTTCAAGTGCCCTTTATACACTGAAATCAGTCTTACTAATATATCTTTATAAAAATATTATTTTTAACGGGTTGAATATTAATAATGTAACTAATTAAAATAATCTAATCAACAACAAAACACAATGTAATAGAACTTTTATATAAAACTATTAAAGGGTTATCTTATTCTACTTGAATCTTAATCAGTCTTAATAAAATCTTAACAGTTGGCCTGCCCTTGGAAATGGTTAGGTTTTTTTCATATTTGTTTGAATTCTATAAATGTCTCTATAAGGTGGGTTTAGGTACGTTGAAAATACGTGAACACTCGTTAATTCCCATGGATTTCTTTTCCAAACAATCTAAGGCTTTTTCTAAGTCATCTTGCGTCCATTTATAATATTTTTTATCCCTTCCAGACATCTGAAAACATTTCAATATAGTTAACAATCGAGTTGAAGAACCACCATACACCTAAATTGTACCGGTACATATTAGGCATACCCTACCTGGTACAAATTAGGCAACCCTAAGTTTTATTTTTATGTGAGCAGGTGCCATAACTTCAAGATGCTAAATATCAAAACTATATTCTCTGAAAAGTACACTAATATGCCTACTTTCCAAAAACATATATAACAGTTGCAGTGTACTTATCGTTGCCACAAGAAATTCTTAGGTAAACAACCATAAAATAAGATCAGGTCGCCGTAATAATTATTTTTATTTACTACACTTTACTCTGTTGTGACATCGCATCCAAAATAGCACCGATTGCGTCATATTGGTAGCCTTAGATTTTAGTGTTGTCAATTTAAAACTAAACATTACGGTTTGGTAGATTTTGAAGTGGTACAATTTACGAACCGGTACAATTTGAGTAACTCCACCCTATTGTCTTAGCCATAAAATACCCGCAACAGCTTAACCTTGGACACGATCAACTGGGACATAAACATAATGTTGTCTGGCCACACAGCCAAGCGCAATTCTAAATGTGGACACAAACCTTTGGCAACTATAACACTTTTATTTCAGTTGTTCAAATCTTGTCTCGGCGTTACACCGCTGCACCCTGCTCCCTGCAACCCTCCGAACTTTAGTCCCTAATCCATTCCAATTTCAAGTAAACAACCTGTGATTTTAGTGACGAAATGGGACTGTTGCTGTCCGTTATAATCTCCTACGCCGGGGTCAACGAAGCAATAGAAACCCTGAGGCACATACTGAGCGGAATCCTACCGGACACCGACCCGGACTTCCAAGACCTCGTCGACCACTACTCCAGACTGCTCCAGAAGACCGCCAACCATTCCACAGCGGCCGACTGGACCATCGGCTGCGGTCAAGGCTACCTCTGCTTAACTGAAGACAACGATGGAAAACTAAAATCGGCCGCTGTCAAGTACTACGATGGTCAACCCGATTCTACAGCCATTTTATTCTCAACAAAAATTTCCAGTTTTGGACAGGACTCCGTTGAAGATAGTAGCTCTCAATCGCAAGCGAACGGTGACTACAGGTCAGAAAGGTACTTACCGACAAAGACGAAAACAATTATAACGAACACATCCGATTCCTTCAGTGTCGGCTACAGAGACAGATCACCAACGTCTGTTACTACGTCTGTTGAAAATATTTCAGATCCCAATCGTATTTCGGCAAATTCTTTCGAGCGTGACGAAGGTGACCTCGAGAGAAACGAAGCCAAAGAGAAACTGACCTGGCATTACCGCCCTAAGAGCCCCACCCCACAAGCGCAAACACTGCCCGAAATACATTTCCAATCATTCGACGATGACCAAAAAGGAGTATACAGCGAAGACTTTTTAAGGTTAATATCCACCGATTTCCAACTGCTTCGTACTCACGTAGTGCCACTTGCACGATCAGTAGTTAAGTGATAGTAACCATCCATCATCAGCGGTCTTGAGAATCCATTTATCACCAATGCACGAGTAGAAAGCTAATTCCGATATCGGATTCATTGATCACCTGTACTATAAACGACTCATGTATTGTAAATTTGTTTAAGATCACTTGACGGAATAAAGTTCCGACCGTTGCAACGAAGCGACCCGAGTGGCCGGCGCAGGAGTTTCAAAAAACGTCACTCTTCTTCGTCGAACTCTTCTAAAGAGTCGCGGGCGTCCCGCGAGGAAGAGCTAAAGCTGTTCACGTCACTCGAGGAAGCCGAGTTCGACAGTATGCGTAAAGATGACAACGTCAGTGGTTTTGGGAGTGTCCCTAATCTAGCCACGCGTTCTTATTCCAGAAGTCGCTCGCGGGAAAATTCCAGGGAGCGAAGAAATGAGACGTGGAGCACTGACGCGTCTGTGGACAGCGCGCCTGACGAAGACACCACAGACAAGAAGCCGAAAATGAAGGATCTGCCTAAACTCGACTCCTTCGAAGAAGAAAAAGATGTCAATCAAGAGAAAGAGGTAATTGAAGAAGAGGACTTAGACGATTTCTGGGGTAACTCAGGAGACTAGCGCTTGTACTAACGAGCACGAGCGCAGTGTTATGAAAGCTTCGAAATGAGCATGACTGAATTTGAAAACATTAAAATATGATTCCCTGTTTGCGTTTGTTTTCTTTATGAGCCCTGTAGCGATGAATTAACTTGGCACCTTCCTTGTACAGCGGGAATTTGGAACCTAAGACATACCGAGGCTTTAATAAGATTGGCTTTTAGTAGAACTCCATTGCAAAAAGTCCTTTATACAAAATTGGATCCTTTTGTATTTTTGCAAGTTATTAGCGAGGTTAAAAACGAAGTCAAGGCTGTTTGTATTTATAAACTGAGTAAACTGACCTATAAAAGTATGACGATGAGTTATCAAATATTCTTTTACAAATTTACTTTTCCTGGGGAGATTCTGTCACTAATAAGAGATACATGAAGACAGGTATAAGTTTATTAGTCAGAAATCATAACAGTTGCACAATGAGTCCAAAAATACGCCGACATGGTGTGAAGCGGGCCTCGACCCACTTCTGTCAGGCGACGCGCCGGCGCAATGCCACTGCAAAGGGATCACTTACCGATTTTATTATACAAAAACACAAGTTTATTGATACTGCCGCACCTTTGAACAATAATAAGCACTTAAACATAAAAAATTACGATTCCTTAATATCAACAAGTAATCAAAACTAAAGGATAAGTAGTATATTAAAGTTTTGATGGCTGACTCTACACAATTTGGCGATTTTATAGTCTGGTTTTAGTCGTTTACTGAGTCGATTCAACCTTTAATCAATAAGGTTATACGTAACTGGCGAAATATGCTTTTAGCGACATTGTCGTTTATTCAATTAGCTTATTAAGTTTCGGCTGGTGTGACTAAATTTTAAAATATTTACTCATTTTGCAGGAGCAAAATGAGGTTACTACTTAGAATTTCAGGTTACTACAATGTCGTAATAAAATATCTTAAGACTCTTATGATAGTTTATAGTTCCGACCTACTAGTTTATAGTTATGAATAGTCTTAATCAGGTAAAGTAATTCATACAAGATAATCACCTTAAACACGTAGGTAGTACCTTTGCTAATAATTGAAATAGAATAGTCTTAGTCTATTCTATACATAATATGAACCCAGTAAATGATCGCATGCGGTTAAAAAGTCAACCACATCCGTCTTAGTTTCCATAAAGGTACCTTTAGTCTAAAACCAGTTAAACTTCTAAACAAAGACCCAACCACAAAGTTACTGAACTGCACGGTCTAGTTCACGGAGAGAAGTTAGGGTGAGTTCAAATGGACATAAAACATAAAAACATGGGACTTCTGAAATGTGGACTTGTAATTAGTTAGACCCAAAATAAATAATATATTTTGAACTCATCAGCAGCCCTTGGATGCACGCCGTGATACAAACTTGACGATGATTTTAGACGACAAATTAATGTATGGGCTTATAACTTTATCACTAATGGCAATCGTCGCTATAAGAGGTTTACTACGAGTATTATATTCTTGAATGGATGTAAAGTCTCCTCTAAGTTTTCTATTAAAACAAGCATACCTAGACTTTTAACTCGCAAATCGTTTTAATCGTTTAAATTCGTGATATAGAAAAAGAAACTATAAAAAAACGAGCACAGATTCAATCATATGTTATGTAGCAAAACCTATCAAAAGACGAGGAAATGTGTGTGTGCCATATGAGTACCTATGAAGTCTCCAAATTAATAACTTAATCACGTAGTTAATTAATCATGGCAGAGACAAACAGCTCTAGCAAGTAGCCAAATTAAGCCACGATATTTCAATCTGTCATCGTGACGTGTGTGATGAAATCGTCTGACACTAGGCGGCTGAAGACAAACGGGTTTCATAATAGAGAATAACATACGAAGAATTTAGATTGGCAAATAGAATTTATAGCAGATCTGCTGCAAGAATAGTGTTTGAATGAATAGGCTCGTATGGTAATAGAGCGGTACGAAAAGGGCTTATGTGACGTACTAAATGACGTAACAGAGACGTCAATGACTCAAGCAAATGTGAAGTCTCGCTGACGTTTGACTTTGCAAAAACACACCCACCACCCCATGCCGCTCCACTAACGAGGAACTTACTGGTAAAGCGCTACATAAAATGTACCTGAAAATTATGAAATAGACGAAAATTAATTTATTATCTCTTATCACATTAATCTGACATTTCTATGCCATAATTATGGAAAAAAATGATGGACATTTGTAATAGTTTAAGACCATCACTGTACCATATTTCAAGAAATAAATCATTTGAATTTGTCGTTACGGAAACCTTAAATATAAGCTTTTACTACAACTTTTAAAATTATTAAAATGGATTTTCTGTTAACTTGATTTGATTCTATATTTTCAGGAAACTAATTTGAGTATAAATTGTTTCTTTTTGGTAAAAAAAATTCTGTGTTCTGGACTCAAATGGAACCACCCCATAAAATTTGGCCCGTAAAATATCTCAAATATATCTAACTAGCGGCCGCCCGCGACTTCGTACGCGTGGATCCCGTTTTACCCCCTTTTCCCGAATTTTCTTTGCTATAAACCTCACGGAGCCCGAGACCTTTCCAACGAATGCAAAACCGTGGAAATCTGTTCGTGCGTTCTGGAGTTATAGCGTCAGGGAGGAAAACCCGACTTATTTTTATATAGTAGATAAAGCCTGTAAATTCTGTAAATATTAATTAAATAAATGGATAGGAATGGGCGTTTGATATGAGCTTTGTAGATTTACCTATTATGTATTGTGAAATAAGTGGAAATACATAAAACAATAAAACTGTTAGTGACACTTTTCATAGACGTAATTTACGGTTATGCAAATAATACATCATGTGTTCTTAATACATAAATTGAGCTACCTGACAACGAAGTATAATTTATTACAGTAATAACTGATATCCATATGAATGATGAATGCGTTGATGGTCAACAACTATAATTAAGGTTTACGAGGCTATTTCTTAATTTAAGTGTTGAATATTAAAATCATAATACGAGGAGACACTTACCTGTCATGAACTACGTTACATATACTTAACAGGAAATTTTCAGGAAAACTATTATTAGCATTTTTAGATTCAGAATCACTAAAATTCATAGTTTCTAACAAAGCACTTTCACATTATTTAAAAGAAAAAAAACCTCAGTCGCGTTCAATCAGGAAAAATAAATTACAATTTAGTAGGCTGTAGGAGGTAGAGTGTGCCACAGTTCCACCTACCCATTTCCGTTTTTTCTCTCGCTCTAACCAAATGGCGATTCTTTACGATAGATCGAGACGACATGACCGGAAATGGGTAGCTGGAAGTGGGGCCCATAGTACCTATACTCCACTGTGTTGTCTAAGGAAGGAAGGGTAAACCCCTTGGCCTTCCCATAAAGCTAGATTTCCGCAGAAATAATATGTTTGTTCATGGTTTCCGCGATTTCGGATGACAACGTAAAGCTCAACCCACACACACCACAAAACTACTTCACAAATAACTTTTTAAAACCATAGACAAGTTCTATTACCTGCCAGTAATAATAAGACCACATCCCCTTCCCCACAGATTAAATAGTCTACAACAATTGTTTTCACAGACTAAAATAAATTCTTTGAAGGAATCACTAGGTACAGATTTCAAAGCTGCTTTGATTTCTATGTTCCTCTAATTTATGGCAGCAGGTTTCTTTTGTTTATCAGAAGAATCACGGATGAATGACATCGGCAAGGTCTCGGAAGGGCAGCTATTTCGGTCCTGGATACAAGCTGAATCAGCCATGATTTTCAGCTGTTTAGACAAATAGCGAGGCTGTATATTTTACCATTCAGACGCGTAAATTTTAAGGTTCATTGAAGACGGCTTCGAACTTTAGCTTTTTTGCTTCCCGCTCTTTTTTCAGAACTAGTTATTTGGTCTGTGATAGCTTACAAATTTTCATTAGATTGCAGTACCAACCTAGGCATAAGTTTTTCTGGTAAAAAACTTAAATGTGAAAAATTAATGAATTTGGATTCATTTATACCACCTAACATCAATATTAAATTAAATCTGTAATAAGTATTTGACAACCAATCTTGCCGTTAATGTTTAGTGGTTTGGCAATTGAAATTAATTTATTGAAATTTATCAAAACAAACAAATAGTGCCGCTGAAAAAACAAATCACAATATTAACTACAAAAACGTGCTCCAAAGAAATAACATTAACTTTTCAACAGACATTCTTTCGATGCCAATATATTCGATTATTTAGACTTGCTGACAGCCGAAAATGTTACGTTTTAAAAGTTTTCGAGCGTTTAGTTAAAATATGTTTACGGATCTAGATGGAATTACCATTCCCCTTTCTATTCTATTTGTGCGGACAACATTCGTCAAGGAGCTATAATTAGAAGCTGGAGGTGATGCCAACACTAAATCAATAGTCGTATTCTTGCTTGAAATTTCGTTTTTATAGGTAAAAATTCGAGTTGCTGTGCGGTTGTAAAGTACGTATTCTTTGGTTATTATTTTTGGAGAGGTGCATAATAGTAGCTTAGCACTAGTGATTTAATACGCATCTCTGGGGTCGCACAGTTTCAGTTCAATATCTTCCAGATCTTGAACAAAAAAAAATGTAAAAAAGTTAAGCTTATGTAAGGTAGGTACCTACTTACAAATAATACCTGTAGAAATGTCGGTCCATCGGTTTCAAAAATGGGTAGGGAACTAGGGAATTTAAAATTCTAATTTAGAATCAGACTCATAGATTTCTGAACGACGCGATGTCTCGAATTTGCTTGAATAATGTAAATGATTCACTCTGAAATATTTCAGTCGAAAAAATATGTTGATGCATAAGAGGTGAAACAAAATAGTTTTATGTAAGATGGAACTTTCGATGAAAGTTGCAAAGAACGATAAACATAAATGAATAAATGATACTTACTAAGCAGAAGGAAATAAAATTTTCGCGGAAATTCAGAATAATCTTTTTCTTTCGGGATTTAGTATCAATGAAAGCTCGTAACAGACTCCGTTCTTCACACGTCTGTATCGATGGGAGATTCACAGGTGTTCGAAGCATTAGAATGTAAGCAAATTCTAAAAATATCTATGAATGGGCCTGCGGCCGAGACCTTGCGCGTGCGAGGTCTCAAAACACCAGCGTCTAGCCTGTCTGTCAGTATCGACTCAATGGGCAGGTCTTTTGCTTTTTCTATTTTCTTGTTGGCCAACATTTGCAAATTAAATAATTTATTTTTCTTTTTTCTGTTCTATTTTTAATCTGGAAGAATTTAGCCAGCATTTTTAAAATGATTCAACTTGCAATGTTAAATCTTGGTCGTTGGGTCATATGACATAATATCTTGCAAGCTGAATTAGACCGACTTCCTGACGACTGATTGAGCTGACACTTTGCATTCGTGTCATGTAATTCGGATGAAATTGCAACATACCTAATGAATTCATGGAGCTGGTCTGATGATGATTTGTCGGAAGGCCATCATAGGAACTCTGTAACGAAACCATGTAACCCTTTCGAGTTTGGGCTCATTTGATTTGTCGTGACAAATACTCTGGTTTTAGATGATATCCAGGGTCTGATCTGGTAAATGAAACCTTGTTTTGAAAAGGTTCTTTTACGTTAATTTAAACCACCTATAGAATCCAAAACTAATAAAACAGTAGGTATATACAATAATTACGACAGCTTTTACTGTCATATAGCCCATTATAATCCAACTTAAACTTTAATATTATAGGCTAGATTTCCTAGCTTTATAACTGCTCACTTGATTTTGTTTTTAATTACTGCTCACGAATTTAAGCAGCTAAGAAAGAATTTAGCTGTCTGTCCGTTGGCCAGACAGCAAGGCTTTGCCAATTAACGTAGGCAGCAATCATCATCTCACCATTTCCCTGTCATCGTGTACGTCTGAACGGCCTTCGCAAAAGTTGTTTTTATTGTGCTTTTGTTTATTTATGTATCTTTCTTGGAACACATAGAATTAAACTGTAATAGCTAACTCTCCTGGCGTACTGGAATTGCATAATGAAATAGTAATAGGGTAATCAAGTTAATTCGCTTAGTTTTTCCAGAAAATTAAATTTCAAGACTGTTCTTTACAGCAACATTATTAGATAATTCTGCCCTTGATTGAAGACTTAAAATCTCCATACATAGGCAATTTATTAAACACACTCACACGCACAATGATTTCTTTTCTATCATTACAAATACTAAAGTGGTGCTAAAATTATAACACTCGCATCATGGAAAAAGATTCTATGCATTGCCCGTGACTTTGATCTCATTTTAAAACACACCGAAACCCATTTCGGCATCCGTTTTCAGTAGGTGTTGAAAGTCTCATTTATACAACCAAAACATGTTAAGAAAACAATGCGATGCGACTTTTATTCTTGTGTCTAAAGAATAAGATCTTCCTTCTAAAGAAACCAAAATAGTAACATACAAAGCTACCTAATTTGATACAACAGACATTGGCATCCGATCGTGAGCTAAGTACGAGTATAATGCGCTTGTTTTTAATTGCGCTTCACTGGGCCGAGCATCAACGCAAATCGGCAATTGTTCACCAATAATAACCGATTTGAAACACGGCCAAGCGATAAGACGCTAAGCCCTCGATACAAATCCTGTGTCCTACATCGAGATCTCGAGTGGAAACGGAGCCGCGTCGGGCGCAAGCCGATCCTGCGGGAAACGCGGTTCCTCAGTTCGCCTCGCTCAGAAAGTAAACGCCCGCGCACCTGCCCTCTCCGTCACTCTTCCAAATTTAAATCCCAAACTCCCCCCACCGTCTCGGGCGCCGCTTCGCTAAGCATTCTGGAATAATTCCTGTGATTCGGCAACCGTAGCTCGCCATTCGAATTCGGGTCGCGACCGCGTCCGGTGATATCGCTTTCCTGAACTAACGCACCCTGATTAGCCATGGCCGACGTAGACGTTCAGGTCCAGTACACGACCACCGAAAGGAAAACCAGGAAGGTCAAGAAGACCTCCAAGCGCAGGGAGTCTAAGGATGGCGAAGTCACTGTTACGGAGATCGACCAGACCAACACCACCGCGGTCAACGACGATGGGTATGTTGAGTGGTGGCCAAACTCCCTTGACCCTCGGTGCAGTGTGTGACGCCAGTGTGTCTGTGTCAGCCAGTGTCGATTTCCTGTCGTGTTCGACCTCTTTAGTGACATGTACAACGTGTACCAAATGACATTTGCTAGGTGTAGTATTTTGGCCACCCTCACATACCCGACCTAATTTAAGGTATTTATAGGTTGTTTTACATACAGTGTGCTATGGATAATTTCTCAATGGTTTCAAGTCTCAACTTTATTAGTTGCCCCATTTGGCAGCCGTTTTAAGCGAAAGTGCGCAAATAACTCGTGCATCATGCATGGAATTTACGTAGAATGTAATACTGAAATGTTCTCGAAAGATTTTCCTTTTTTATTTAGTGTCCACCTGTCTTGAATTGACCGAAAGTTCAGCTGAAGCTGAAGGTCCTATTGATTTTGATAATGATGGATATGTCATTCCGTACTCGCAAGACCCATAACATTTGCCACACAAATACCAAATTACCCAACATTTGCCCAAACTTTCCACCAGCATCATTTTCACCAGCCACTCTCTTTGTCCCCAGCTCATTTTCAGTGGCGAATACACCAAGGCGATGAACAAGGACTGGCACAGCGGCCACTTCTGCTGCTGGCAGTGCGACGAGTCGCTGACGGGCCAGCGCTACGTTCTGCGCGATGAGCACCCCTACTGCATCAAGTGCTACGAAAGCGTCTTCGCCAATGGCTGCGAGGAGTGCAACAAGATCATCGGCATCGACTCTAAGGTAAACAGCATAAGGACTTAATCTTAAATAACTTGCAAAAATCGAATTGCCGAAAAGAAGCAGTCGAGGGTGACTGCTCTCACCATCTGAGCTACTTAGACATTGGGAGAACCCGTAATTTCCAAGTGCAATTCGCTGTTACGGTCAGCGAATTATGAATGATAAGATGTGACTCTTAACGCTAAAAAAATTCGATAACTGGCATGAAGACTACTTTCGATATTATCAACAAAAACACCAAGATACCAATCAGAATCTTAAGTTCTATTTCTGCGTCTTTTATCCACTATTACAAAAGCAACCATAGTGTTGCTTGTAATAGTGGAACATCAACTATGAAGCAATCTTTAGCGGTCATTTTACCCAAACTCAATATTAATAGCTTCGACATTTAGGTTTTTAAAGACAGGATCTTACTTTTTGTTTACACTATTCGTTTCCATTTCACTTTATTTACTTTCTAACTTATCTAATCAACTTCACACATATTCAACTTCATTCAAACGTTTTCAAATGAGAACTCAGTAGCTTTTTTTAGAAATTAATACTAAGTTTACGTTGGTAATATCGGTATTAATGACCATTAGAGCAAGGAACTTAAACACAAGTATTACAAAAAATACATTCTGCTTATGGAAAATATTTCATTAATGTTTGTTTACCAATGTTTACAAATTGGAAACTAACTTCCAATGTTGCTGGTAGCCTTTTACGTAAGATACAACCATAACTAAACCTTAGTTACAATATCTTAATAAATTATGGTCTGTTTACTCGATACGAACAGTAAACTTCATTGATCCATTTAACAAAATAAACAATCGTCAACATAAACTTTACAGTGAACATCTCCAGCCTCAATTCGATTAGGTCTACCAACTGAATCATTTGTTCAATGATAGCCACTTCATTCATCAAACTTACGGCTAACTTGATTTTTATAGACACAATTGATACAGATAAACAAGATATATGGCACATTATCGTTTAAATCAATTGATCAATTACATTGCGACGACTTGTCTGAAGAAGTTCAATGGCTACCGATTTAATCGAATGATATCCAGATGACATTACACGAATTAATCGATTGACATTTTGAAAATCAAACGTTGTTAGAACTTTTAAAGTGGATGTTAATATTGAGTTTTGTGCGCAAACGCTCTTGTTATTTGGCAAATGTTCAGGATAATTAATTGTTGTTTCGAAAAACATGAATGTTGTCATACTTCAGAATGCCAACTGGGATCCGACGTGTGTTTTTGCGGTAGTTTAGAAAACAAACATCTCGCTTGAAACTGAATAGGATCGTGTAATTTGTGGGTTTTAACACATCTCAACATGTAGTTTAATTACTTGTGTTTAGATTATTGTACAAAATGCTGGAGTAGATCCAAAAAAATTAACTTACCATTATCATAAATTATTGAATAATATAGGTCTAACCTATCAAAAGCTAAATTCAACATTTCTCATGAAACATCGTCGTTTACATCATAAGTAAATCCCACTAGCATTAAAACTACAATAGCATCCTTGACATTTAACTTCTTTCCGTATCTTACTCAGCCATCCCTTGCTAACTTTGACCTTTGGAAACAGAACCATGCCAAGCATTTTTGCATCAGAGCTAGAATCATCGGCATTCTGCTTTGTTGGTCTGATCAAATTTAGTTATGTCACTCCAGCCGCCCCAGATTCCGCGGGACTGCACACGGCCCCAACGAGCGAGCCAACACAACGCGGATCGCCAACTCTATACATTTATCTAACTACCAACGAATGACTTTTCCTGTCGAGAGAACAGCTGCAATCCGTCGCTGTTTACACCTACCGATTGTTTTTTGTGTTACGTCAGATTTCCAGACACGTGATCTCTTAAAGACTCCAAAAGCTTCAGCAGCTTTGCGACCACTTTGCATGTAAACAATGACGATAAAATGCCAGTCACTGGAAGTAATGCTACAGATTACGTCACGATGGAAATAAATGATCAGTGAAATTGTTTTAGAAATTCTATATAGTCATCGGTAGCCAATTTGCAATCCAATATTATATGTCGTGTTGAAAAACATCGAAATTGTTTGCTCATTACAGCAGAAGTTTGTTGCAAACCGGCGAGAGTTTTTCGAAAACAACTCAACACGAGCGTCTATTCCTGGACTGGATACAACATTATTTTAATGTTTTCGTTCCTAACAACCTTGAGTTGCCTGGTGGATCCGTCAGACGATTCTTTTGAGATTCAAGACCCACTAAGTATTTCGTAATCGGCCAAAATAAACATTCATATTTTATTGACATTACGACATTCGATCTTAAACGCCGCTCTGGCGGGCCACACGGGCCAGGAATAGATTCCAGAATGGGGGAGCTTTATTTCAGTGTTAGTTAACTATGCAGCATTATGGGATGTATTACACTTTTTGTTTAAACTAGCTGCATAAGAACGAGGTAAAAATACAACGTTCACGTAGCAGAATACCAGAGCTGAGTTCACTCCATTAATTTGGTTATCAAACGTATGTTTATTTTCTGTAATACAAGCAGTATTATAAACAAGACTGAGTGCTACTTAATCATTATTATTAAACTCACAATGCTCGTAAAAGCATCCGGCATTTAGCCTCTGAACTTTGAATTGTAATAACTTGAGCGTGTATCTGTCAATAGTTTATCTTAAATCATAAATTGAATACTGATTCACGGCTCAAAATAGACGGTGACGAGCCTGTTAAACTTATTTCGAATACTGTGAAAATGGTAAAGTTAATAAGTAAGATTAATGATGGCAATCCCACGTGAGATGAAAATGGGTATAGTACCAAACACGTAATCGATTGAAGACTGGGCTCGTCCTGCACCTGTACTCGTATACAACTTAGATAAATAATTACACCCACGCCGTACTGTCGCGTTTTATTCCAACACCTACTGGAAATCTTATTGTTTTTGCACTAGCTTGCTCATCCTGGGATTCCACAGATAGAATCTTGTATTGTTTTGTTTATACGAAACACAAGTTATCCTTCGAATTATAGTCCATTCAATAGCCTACACAGACGATATTATAACTCGCAAATTATAGACTACCCAACATCTGATTTGCCTTGACGTATTTGGCCAGACTTATATCAAAATAAACTTGACCCATCCTAAAATACAATCATGACTCGTAACTCATATTCCACTGGAGCTAGATTTAGATTCATTCTCATGAAAAACGTGCTATTAAAAGTGAATCTACTAGAGATTGTATGTCGTTATATTTTTAGCGGAACAAAATGAATGGGCGCAGATTTGCAGCTAATGATAAATTTATGACAGTATTTCACATGTTGCGCTATTTTAAACGACATTTACAATATAATTTCTTTCAATGAACCATTTATTTATGTTTTTGGATGTCAGTGTCACACAACTTTGAAGAGATAAAAAATACCAAACCTTTGCTGCAAAATAATTAAGTGAAGTAAAATCTCTACGAGGCACAGGCAATTAATCTAAAGGCAGGCGAGATCAAGATGATGATGACAATAATATTCGAGTTCATGATTAAAAACGAGAGATGGGAACTGCCAAACACATTATGTATATTGTGCATTGTGACCGACCTAAGGGACTTCATATAAACAAAAATAAGAGCATTAACAATCCAATACATCTTCAACACAATTAACATAACGGCTACTATACAATATACCCACAACATCTACTATAAGGTCTGACGCTTTACCTAAGTCAGAACCTAAGTAAGTATGAGAGCGGCACGGGTGTTTTTGCGATGTCAGTTGTCAACGTTAGCAAATCTTCAGATGTTCTTCAGATTTATGCTCTGTCATGTCATAATAATATTATGCCAATGTTCCGTGCTGCTGTCTGCTCCTATATCTCTGACACCTCATACGCTAAACCTCATCATTGCATCTTCTCTCCACAATACTGATAAACGAACTTCTCGATTCTGTCCAACCTTCTCTACATAAATACTCATTCCCTCTGCCTTCCACAGGACCTGTCGTACAAAGACAAGCACTGGCACGAGGCGTGCTTCCTCTGCGCGAAGTGTCGCGTGTCGCTGGTGGACAAGCAGTTCGGCTCCAAGCTGGACAAGATCTACTGCGGGAACTGCTACGACGCGCAGTTTGCCAGCCGCTGCGATGGATGCGGCGAGGTCTTCCGCGCTGGTGAGTACAGATACAGTTTTAATATGACAAAAAAAGAAAAATACTAATTGGCACAGTGTTTATTTAACGGTTATAATAATACCTATAGTAGGGGCAGTTCAAGACGCTGGACTTCCACGGACACCCTTGTTGTTGAAATTACGCATCCGTTCGAGGAGCCATTTAGAGCTATGGCTATTGGCTAGTCTAATGAGCGTATAAAAGAAGGAAGCTCAAAGCTTAAGCACGAGACAGAAACATGAAAGAAATCATTTAGTAGAATAGAATAGGACCGTTCTTCTCGTCGTGGATGCTGTATAATGCTCAGGGACAAATAAATAAATGAATAAAGTCTTTATTGAATAACTTAATGAAAGTTTTTAACAATAGGCTATTCTTAAAATATAAAAGGTAAAAACGTGCCTGAACTAGGAATAATTCCTGTACCTATCTCAGGTAACATGTAAATATCAGGCAAATTAATGTTGAAATTTTGTACCGTGGAAAAAGCAATAGCAATTTTAGGATGTTCTGATGACTCAATAGACAAGTTCAAACTACAAAAACCTATCTGGTTTTGCATGTTCAAGTAGCGTGCCACCAGTGTCTAGCTCGTGTTTAAAAGTAGGTGTTTATTTACTTTTTTATACTAAATCGGTGTCGACGACACCATATTTTGTAAACTTAAATCTTCTTTAGCATTAAGATCGCCTTTTGATATTCGGTAAAAATTGTGAAACACTGGCTAAACAATTTAATTTGAATTACTAATTTCGATGCGTATATCATAATACTATAAACTTTACGCATAAATCGTAGGATTATTATTGCTCTAATTCATGTTTATTGCTTGTTAGCTATAAAATTTGGTAATATACGAATCATATGAGTCATAAATGTGACAAATAGTTCGTTTTTTCGTCAGCAGTTATAATAATATCTTTAAAAATTCCACAAACGGCTTTATTTCATCGTATTTAAATCAGTCTGAGTTACCACTAAATCTTAATATAGTTCAAAACTCAATTAATTAAAAGTATGGAATATGAAATCAAAAAAGAACGTGATAGCGTGGAGCGCTGGAAAAATAAAAGCTTTCTTCCGCGACCCAAACTTCTATAAGTTAACACTATCAAAATAATAGCCGTTCCAAATGAGGGTTTTCGCGTATGAAAAATCCACCAGATGGCAATACGTAGACGCGAGGTCCAAATGCTGCATGATTGGTTATTTTTGACATGACATTGACAGATATGTCAAAATCCACCAATCACGCAGCAGTCAGACCCCACATCCACGTCCCGCCATCTAGCGGATCTTTCATACGCGAAAACCCTCATTGTGATAACTAACCAATCAAATAATTTCTTTAATTCCGATCAGTTTTCCTCAGTCATTTTTTACTGGCAACATTAATGATGCAGCCTCAAAGAAAGGCTCCATTTCCGCAGTCCATACAAATTCCCTATATGATCTCACAACCAGCGTTCATACCTCAGTCGTAGCCTTATAAGTAGTGTTATCCTCGCTACATAAGGCAGTAGTAAGGTGATTCGGAAAAAATACAGTGCCGTAACCTCGGCTGCCCTCAACATGACCGACTGCATATTTTTGACTTTTAAATCGAGTTTTATATGGTAAAGAGATCTGAGGATTCTAAAAAAATGTTCATGAAACTCGAAATACATTTTGAGGAAAAAGAAACGCATTTTGGCCTCTTGTATGAAGTAAAAAAAATGTAATGGGCTATTTACTATGATCAATGGCTTTGTATCAATAACTTATGAGCGGGAATTTATCTTACTTTTTTGCATAAAAACTGTTGCACACGTGCAAGGATACCCGTATCCTGCATCCGTAAGTTTACACCGTCTAAGGCACTTTAGCTTCCTTCTTGTCTTTTCGAATTAATTTGCTTTAGTATTTACTTTTTTTGACGAATCGGTATTTTTAATAATATTCCCTACAAAATACAGGTTACCATATAGGAAACCTAAAAAGACCTTAAACCGTCTGTTGGTCTATTTGTACCTATAATATTTAAAGAATTTACCTCCAACTCCTAAGCATTAAAGAGTTGTACCTACCATGACCAGTTCATCATGATGAGATTGAATAACTTTAGAAACTATACTTATCTATAAAATTAAAAGAATTATCTTCCAACTCCTAAGCATTAAGGAGTTTTACCTTCTATCATCAGCTCATCAATATGAGATGATGATTTCCAGGAGCAAATACTTGAATAACTTAAGAAAAAGTTTGAAAAACGATATACGTGCCTATAAAATTTGAGGGTTGCCCTCGATTTCCCTAGGATCCCATCATCAGATCCTGACTTGGTGACAATGGGACCACGTCAGAAGTGTACCCTATCGAACAAAAAAAGAATTTTGAAAATCGGTCCACAATTGACGGAGTAATCGGTGAACATACATAGAAAAAAAATACATACAGTCGAACATATAACCTCCTCCTTTTTTGAAGTCGGTTAAAAAACAAATATAGACAGGTTTCAATAACGAATAGACTTCACAAGAACTTAAATAATATGTATTTTACAAAAATCTATAAAATCTACCAGCCAGATGAGTGACTTTTTTGAGACTATAAAGTACACACACATGCTTATTTATTTCAGTCAGTAATTCAGTATGCTGTCTTGTTAATTTCGTATTACTGGTATTAAGTACATAGTTGTTGCGCACAACTCTATCTACGTAGATTTCCTTAACTTAATCCATTCCACTCCACAAATTATTCAACAAATTACGTTTAAACGTTAACTGTGACATACTACATCTAAACTTTGCTTAAACGGCGCGAAGTCACTAACTGTACAGTCAGACGCAAATACTTATATCTATTGGAAATTAGAAATGAAAAATTTGAACTAAGACTTATTGCGTGACCCCAGTGACCTGAAGAGGACAGGCAAATGATGAATGATGATAAATTCACGTCATAGAGGTTATAAAACATTCTAGCCGTTAATTTGCTTTTACAAATAATAAGGTGACAGCTTTTGTGTATTATATTTATAGCGGTAAGAGGTTAAAAGTTTTTTCTTTCAATCTTGTAATAAACACAAATTGTACACGAACGCAAGTTCAATGAGAGCTCTAGAGCTCTCTAGTCTCTCTAGAGAGACAAAAATGGTCGCCTGAAACTTATTACGTGAAAATTCGTAGTTATTGTAGAGCTAACTGTAACGTGAGCTCTTACTCCAAAGCATGCTTAAAACTTATAAAAATTAAAAACTCTTACCTGAAAGAGCCCTAAGTAAGTGATAGACAAGCTTTAAATACACACAAAAAGATTTTTAATTACCAACAACATGCTGGCAATTTGACAAAATCTGTCTAAAAATTCCCATCACAAATTAGTAGGTATATCACTTAAGCTAAATGTTACGTGTCCGACTGTCCCGGGTGCCAAGCGGTCGTAAATCGAAACAAACGAGCAATTACGCCAAACGCGAGCGAAACCGTACGACTGTACATGGCTTCTAATTGAAAATGGTTGAACAGTAATGGATTAATACTAATTTGTATTGTATCGTTCATTGTCTCTACTAGTTTAATAAAAACAAGCTACAATGATACGTCTTCGATCTTGCAATTAATTTTTATTATCACGTTAAAAACAATTATTATTGAAGTCGAATTGGATCGGATCCCGATGCAATAAATTGTGACGTTTGGACACCGACGTGATTTTTGTTTATTTCAAAAGATTTTATTTACGAGTATTTCAATGCGTTCACATAAATCTTCACTCAAACACGAGTCTTTTCTAACACCAAGTCGTATGAATAAAATCTATATACAATATTAAAGAAAGTCGTGTTAGTTACACCACTTATAACTCAAGAACGGCTGAACCGATTTAGCTGAAAATTGTCAGGGAGGTAGTTTAGAGCCAGGAGAAGGACATAGGATACTTTTTATCCCGTTCGAAATTTAAAAAAAAGTCTGCTTATTTATTGCCATTAAGGCGGAACAAAGTTCGCCGGGTCAGCTAGTATGAATTATAGAAGTTTAGATTTTTACAGCATTTATTTTGTAGTTTGGTTACTTAGTGCGTTATCTCTATGCTTATCAATTTATTGACCTGAGAGTACCTACTAATTTTCTACTCAAAACTACAATTAAAACAAAAGGCAAATACCATTCAAGCCTACGATTGGTGTAAATGTATAAATACCTCTAAACAGCATAAAGCTTTACTTGAGTTCGACTCAAGTTTTGAGAGTCATTTTATAAATTAATATCTAATGAAACTATCTCTTTACGTTTCTCTTTAATTTCTAAAGTATCCAGTCACGACCTAAAATGATTGAAACCGTTAACATGGCATAGGTCTAGGTACTGCAAATTGTTGATTCTCAGAATTAAAAATAACTCGAGGATAAGTAACGGTATGTAATTAATCACTATAATTTGAGGTTCCTGTCGTATTACTTTGTATGAAGTCATGATTTAACTTGGTGAAGTTATTAAGGCTTGACCTCAATGTGTAGGACTATAATACCTAGTCATTTTATAGAAGCGTAAAAATTTCATTTCAATCTTGCTGCAATGTGAGTATACCTTTAGAGTATTATATTATCTGTGCCTTTAGTCTTCATATCCTGACCACTGTGGATCTAAGAACGCCTTTTATTAACTATGTATATGTTACGGTCAAAGTGATAAATGTGAAAATTATGAATAATCGCCGGTTATTATGAATAATTACCGCATGATTTGGTAAATGTGATTAATATGAGGTCATTTATGTGTGTATAAAACTAAATACGCGGCTTAGGGGTGGCCCAAGGGCCACCCCCGCCGCACCTTAACCTATTTTTCACTTTAAATCAAAACATTATGTTATAGGCACCATGGAAAAGTAATATTATGCAAGAAACATTCCAAAGTCATTATGCCAAATCATATTAATATATGATATCAAAACTTTCAAAAGTTTGGCTGTACACGAGCACATACACAAAATGTTGTTCTCTCTTAAGAAAGTTA